CTGAGGATCAGGACAGCTGCCTCATTTCCCACTGAGCACAATCTCCACTTGCTGCAGTGCTGCTCCTTATCTGCCTCAGGAAGTTAAGGCTCAAAGAAGGGTAATAACTGTAAATTTTTCTCCAGACTGCCTGAAAACAAGATATCTCTGCTGTTGTATTTTTATGAGTACATTTATCTTCCAAAAGGGTGGTATTGACCTACTGGTTATGGCATGACCTGGCCTTTTCTTGGCCATAATCAAAAGTAGAAGGTTGATAATTAATGTAATTTCTCACTTTTCAGTCCTGGTTATGTCACACATTGCCTGGATGGGTTTTCCCCCCATTTTTCCCCCTCATTTTTCCCCCCTCATTTTTTCCCCCTCATGTTTTGCCCCCATTGTTTTGCCCCCCATTGTTTTGCCCCCCATTGTTTTGCCCCCCATTGTTTTGCCCCCATTGTTTTGCCCTCATTGTTTTCCCCCTCATTGTTTTGCCCCATTGTTTTGCCCCCATTGTTTTCCCCCTCATTGTTTCCCCTCATTGTTTCCCCTCATTGTTTCCCCCCCATTGTTTGCCCCCCATTGTTTGCCCCATTTTCCCCCCATTTCTCCCCATTTTATTTTTTTTTATTTTTAAAAGATTTTTCTTTTTTTAAACATTTTTATATTTTTTCTCTTTTTCCTTTTTTTTTTTGTATTTTTTCTAATTTTTTGGTGGTATTTTTCTGATTTTTTTTTTGTTATTTTTCCTAGTTTTCTGTATTTCTTAAAAGCAAAGCATTCCTCGGACCCTGTGTCACCACACTTAATTTTTACAGTTTCAGTTTTGTTCAAAATGAGAGATTTTAAAATTTTGTTGTATTTTTTTTAAACCAAAATCTAAAATTATTCGTGTCTCTATTGAGGTGGAAAATCCCTGAAGGAGCAAGCCTGGCTTGGGAACAGGAGGGTTTGAGTTGATGAACTCCTTGGAAATGGGTGTTGTCCTTTTGGAATTTGGTTCTCCAGGTGGGTTCAGCTTTTCTCAGAGCACAGTAATCCCCAGGAGAGTTTAACAGCTTTAAAAATTGGATTAAAATTAAAATTAAATTTTAAAAAATTAAAATTAATCTTAAAGCTAGTAATTGATGTTTTCCTACCTCCAGCCAACCAGAGGCTGCTCTGCAGGTAAAGATGGATTTTGTAACTTGGAAAATCTCTGATTTGTACTGAGATACTGAGATGAGTTGAAAATTCAATGTTGACTGTGTTCAGATTGTTCCTGGGGTGTTACTCTGGGGGAATCCAGAATCCAAAGAGAATTTTTAATCCTCAGCTCGCTGAAAATGATGGATGCCACTGCTGATTTTTTGGCAATTGCCTGTGACTGGACCATGAATTTGGGAATTTAAACTTGAATTGTTGAGGTGCCTGTGCACAGTGTGCTTGTTGACAGGTGTGTTCTCTGCATTCATTTTGGGGCATAAATCCAAAGTCTTTTCATGGATTCTTTGCCAGTTTGTGGCTTTGTTGCATTGTGAGATGCTCAGTGGGTTTTTCTCTCTCCTTTTTGGACAGGGATCCTTAACTCTGCCAGCAGCAGGCCAAGGAAGCAGGTGGCCATCAGGAGGAAGGAGCTTTGTGACATTATCTTCCTAAATAATGATGAAAAGATGTAAAAAGAGGCTCTTGTTAAGGATGAACACGAGTGTTAGTGCAAGATAAACTGGGGATAAAATAAGGAAGACAGCACATTGTACAAAAATATCCGTTATATTTAGATTTCTCCCTGCTAGGGATAATTGTGATATTCCTCCACGCATGAACTGTACATCTAAATTTTAATTTAAACTGGGAAATACCAAAGTTCAAGGGCTCTTTTCCAGCCTGGCTTTCTTTTAGGCTGGAGAGTTTTCCAGCAGGAATTCCATCTCCTCTTCCCATTAATGCTTCTCCATGAGCTGATCCATGGGAGTGAGGACAAAGAGAAGAACCTGTCTGAAAATCTCACTCCAAGTAATTTTCAGTTTTTTTAGAGAAACACTTTTGATCCTCATGGAAGAGAGAAATAGAGAAATGTCAGTTCATTCCTCTGCCTGATTTTTCTCTCTCTCCAAATGGAAAGCTCAGCTGGGAAGAGGAGGAGAGGATGGTCCTGGCATTGCCAAAAGTTCTTTTCTGTCTCTGGCTGCACTCTGGGTGATTGGCAGGTTATTGGCAATGGAACCCCAGCCTTTAAGATGAATGATCAGATCTGACTCACACATTTTCCATACTGAAAATGACCTTTGGCAGCAATTTCTGTATGCAAAATATAGACTGGCCTATTGTATTTAAAAAAAAAAAATCAGAGGCTAAATATACAATCATTAGTTGGTATGTTTATTTTAAGGAGAATTTTCACCTGTAATTTGACAATTTATTCAGTAAACTGCTTTTAAAATTTCCCAAATATCTGCAGGTTGCATGCATTTAAATTTTTTTTTGAGAGTTGTGTCCAAGAAGAGGCAAATTGCTGCTCCAGTCTCTCCAAGTCTTAATGCTTGTGGGGAAAGGAATATGTGAGCACAAATGGAAAGTTCTGGGGCCTGTGCAGTCACTCTGAAACTCCCCCTGACCCCTGGAATATTTTCCTTCCATCTTCCCCCTGAGTACTGGCAGCACTCAAAATTGCTTCCCTTGGGGTCTGAGGGAATATCCAAAGCTTTCCTCCTCCTTCTCCTTTGTGTTTTCTGTGTTTTAGTACAGAAGGAACGGTTAAAGCTGTTTCATCTTCAGAAAGAGATGGAGAGATTGAAGAAAGGAATTGCAATAATCCAAGGATGCACTTGGCTGTAATGAATTTTAATGGTTTTTTGTCAGCTTGGCCCAGTATTTTGATTTTATGTAGAATTCCATTTTTGATTTCGTGTCCATTTGTCAGATTGCTAAATAAATCTGAAAACAGGGGCTGGAACATCTCACAGGGAAGCAAATTCTTTATCACCCTCCACAAGTCCCTGCCAGGAGGGTGCAGGCAGGTGGGAATTGGGTTCTGCTCCCAGGGAACAGGGGCAGATGAGAGGGAGCAGCCTCAAGCTGCTCCAAGGGAGGTTCAGATTGCACATCAGGAAGCATTTCAAGCATGTCCATAAAAATGAACATTCCTAAAACAAAGCAACCCCCCTCAATTCCTTATTTTATGCTAATTTTTAGTGCTAAGGCTTTTTTTTTTTAAATATAAACTTAATAAGAGCAAAATGCTAAGGACTTTCTAAATGTAATTTTATTGCATTTATCTCTCCAGTTGAAATTAATTATTCAGAGTCTTCATTAAAAAGAAGCTTTGGTAAGTGGCATTTTAAGCAGGCCTTCAGAAGTGATTGCAAGGGAGATGCTGATAAAGAACAGTGTGTAAAAGGAAGTGTAAAATACTTGGACATTTTAAACTGGGATGTGAGAACTTCCAGGGCAGCTGTTTGGATAATTTGGGAAATGTAATGAGCACACACACGATGCTGCTGGCCTGGGAGCTGCCAGCACTGCCACATCTCCCAGTTTTATTAAGTTTAGTGGGGTTTTTCAATGTTTGGTGCAGAGAAAAGAGGTGGAAGTTGTCTTTTTTTTCAAAAATAAAAATGTGGGGTTTTTTCTCCTTGGACTGGAAGTGCACTAAATCCTGATTCTCCAGAGAATAAGAGGAAAGCAACAGAAGCCCCCATTTCTTGCTTTCTTTTTGAAATATGAGCTCCACGTGCACATGAAGAGCCAAAATCTCCCAGAGGATCCCCAGCTCTGCACCCAGGGATCCTTGGCTTCCCTGAGGAATCCCCTCTGCTGCCAGCAGCACATGCAGTCCCTGGCAGTGGGAGGCAGGGCATTGCAGCCAAAAAACCCAGGGTCAAGCATTTTATTTGTGCCAAATTTGGGATCCATTCATCCTCAGCTCCACGACAGGGCCTTATCTTTCCTTGATGATGGATAATTCAGCACTTGAGGCTTACACAGACACAAGAATGTTCAAGTGAGTGCTCTGCTGCAGCTGCAGGAAACACACTTGCTGGCAGCAGATTGGCTTCATTTGTGTTTCAGCAATTAGCCAGGGAAAAATAAGTGACCCCCAGTCACGTTTGGGATGTTGGAGCAGTGACAGCAAGAACGAGCTGTTTACTGTGGGGAGAGCAAAGGGGAACTAAACCAACATTTCTCTCCCTCAGTTCTCCCTGAGCACAGCTGGAGCAGTTTGAGTCTCAAATCCACACCTGGGAATATTGAGTGCTGGTGTGGCAGCATTGTGAATAATCCCTGCAAACCGGTCAGGTGCCCACCTGCAGGTGGAGGCAGTTGTTTATTTAATATTTCATTCTGCAGTCCAGTGTAAACTTTGCATGGCTTGAGTTTTCCTTTTCCATTGTCATCAGGAGTGACAAGAGAAGCTTTTTTCTGGTTTATCACACATGTGAAATTATTTTGGTGTTTGGTTTTAGGTTTTTTAATGTGTGAAATGCACGCACGAAGTAGTTTAGTCTTATTTTTATTCAGTTACAGTCTGGTCCTGCTTGCTTTGATGCTTTGTGTGCTGCTCATCTCCCCACCCTGGAGGACAACACATGCCCTTTTACAGGCTCATCATCCACTTTTACAATAAATCCTTTCAAATTCTCTTTTCCTAGGAAATACCCTACTGCAGCTGGGGCATTACCACGTAAATTGGCCATGGTACCTCTGCAAACACTCAGATTCTCCCAGAAAGACTTTGGTGGAGCTGTGATTTACAGACTTCCCCCTTTGTGTCCTGAATTGATGAATTCCTTATTGCTTCCCCAGGGGTCATGGACTTTTATATAATTCCATTGGAGCCATCCATCCTCTGGAAAAATCAGAGTGCTCGAGGTGGTGCAGGTGTCAACCTCGATGGATTGCCGGCGTCAGCGGTGCCGGGAGAGGGACGAGGCCCAGACCCTCCCTGGATTACTTAAACCAAAACCCTCTTCATGGATTATTTATAAGCTTTGCTCCTTTACATTCCCATTTCCTCTGTGGTTATTTTATTTTTGCAGTGTTGTCCCTCAGACCACAGTGATCCTCAACAACGACCGGCAGAACTCCATCGTGGCCAAGATGGTGGGGCAGGAGGAGCCGCTGAGCAGAGCTGCAGATTCCCTGGAGAACATCCTCAGCAAGTGAGTGCCATTCCCTGGAATCCTCCCTCCTTCCCTCCCTGGGCAGGGCCACTTCCAAGGACAATTTGAAAGGAAAAACGAGGAATCCTTGAGGTAATAATGGGGGAAAGATTGAACCTGGGCTTGGATAGATTCTCTTGCTTCCCTCTTGATGGGAGAGAACATCCTGGAGGAGCTGGGATTATCTGTGTTAAGTTGAAGAAGGGTTTCCCATAGCTTCCTTTCCCTTCCCATATGAGGGTTTCCCATAAAAATCCCATGGATTTTTACATGGATGCACAATCCCTTGGGAACAGGAGGAGGCTTTCCCATAAAAATCCCATGGATTTTTACATGGATGAACAATCCCTTGGGAACAGGCCAAAATCCTGTATTTAACCAGCTGAAGGAGGAATATGCAGTCCAAGGAAAACTTGAACTATCTAAAGTGAATTTTAAACAAGCACACCTGGAGATTCTGGATGGAAAATGGTCGTAATTAATATATTTTTATAAATTACTTGGATATTTCTTTTGTTTTGCACATGGGGCCTAGTCTTTTCCATTGAGGCAGGTGTAGGAAGTTGATACCTAAGATTTTTTTTTTTTATTCCTTCTGCTGTGTGTGACCCAAAGGACACAGTCTTAACCTGCACAAAGGGAAATTTAGGTTGGATGTTAGGAAAAAGTATTTTATTGAAAGAGTGATGAAGTACGGGAATCGTCTGCCTGGGAGGTGTTGGAGTCACCATTCCTGGATGTGCTTAAAAGAAGACTGGATGTGGCACTGGCTGCCATGGTTTAGTTGAGGTGATGTTAGGGCATGGTTTGGACCTGATGATCTTTAATGTCTCTTCCAACCTGGTGATTCTGTGTGATTTTTATTCTGCTGGTTTAAAGGAGCTGATTTTATCCAACACATTTATTTTGTCAATTAGCACTTTTAAGTCCCTCACAATGATGTGCAGGGCCGTGAGCTGAACCAAGTTATGCTGGAATTTGGATATTCCATGCTCACATTCCTGCTGAGGAACAGTTCTCTGGAGGTGACCTGGGTTGGCCCTCACAATGATGTGTAGGGCCAGGAGCTGAACTCGGTAACTCTGGAATTTGGATTTTCCTTGCTCATGTTCCTTCTGAGGGGCTTTTCTCTGGAGGTGACCTGTGTTGGCCCTCACAACAACATGCAGGGCCATGAGCTGAACTGAGTGATGCTGAAATTTGGATATTCCATGCTCATGTTCCTTTTGAGGGGCTTTTCTCTGGAAGAAAGGGGGTGACCCATGTTGGCCCTCATACTGGTGTGTAGGTCTAAGAGCTGAGGTCAGTAACTCTGGAATTTGGATTTTCCTTGCTCACGTTCCTTTTGAGGGGCTTTTCTCTGGAGGTGACCTGTGTTCGCCCTCACAACAGCATGCAGGGCTGCGAGCTGAACTCGGTGATGCTGGAATTTGGATATACCATGCTTATGTTCCTTCTGAGGGCTTTTCTCTGGAGGTGACCTGTGTAGGCCCTCACAATGAGGTGCAGGGCCGCAAGCTGAACTCAGTAACTCTGGAATTTAGATATTCCTTGTTCACGTTCCTGCTGAGGGGCTGTTCTCTGGAGATGATCTCAAAACAATGTGTAGAGCCACGGGCTGAACTCAGTAACTCTGGAATTTGGATATTCCTTGCTCATGTTCCTTCTGAGGGGTTCTCTCTGGAGGTGACTTGTGTTGGCCCTCACAACAACATGCAGGGCCACGAGCTGAACTCGGTGATGCTGGAATTTGGATATTCCATGCTTATGTTCCTTCTGAGGGCTGTTCGGTGGAGGTGACCCATGTTGGCCCTCACAATGAGGTGCAGGGCCACGAGCTGAACTCAGTAACTTTGGAATTTGGATATTCCTTAATCACGTTCCTGCTGAGGGGCTGTTCTCTGGAGATGACCTCAAAACAATGTGTAGGGCCATGGGCTGAACTCAGTAACTCTGGAATTTGGATATTCCTTGCTCATGTTCTTTCTGAGGGGTTTTCTCTGGAGGTGACCCGTGTTGGCCCTCACAGCGATGTGTGGGGCCTTGAGCTGAGCTGACACTGGGATTTGGCTATCCCATGGAATTTGGCTATCCCATGGAATTTGGCTATCCGATGGAATTTGGCTATCCCGTGCTCACACCCTGCTGGGGGCTGTTCCCTGGAGGTGACCCGTGTTCCTTGCCCGCAGCGCGGTGCCGGGCCGCCGGCAGAACACCATCGTGGTGAAGGTGCCCGGGCACGACGACAGCCACAACGAGGACGGCGAGAGCGGCTCCGAGGCCAGCGACTCCGTGTCCAACAGCGGCCAGGTGGGCAGCCAGAGCATCGGCAACAACGTCACCCTCATCACCCTCAACTCCGAAGGTACGTGTGCTGCCAAGTGGGGTTTTTGCCTTTTATATTTATGTCTCCTCAGTACTCCTAGTGTGCATACTTGTGATTCCCTAGGTCTGATAGTTTAGCGCAGTGCTGGTGTTCTGTTAGGCTTAACGCCCTAAAGGCCTCGTTGTGTGAGGCTGCAAAGCCCTAAAACCATCTTGAGAAACCAATGATGCCTCGAGAGGCTGCCTAGAGCAGAGTTAAAGGAATAAAGTAGGAATTTATTAAAAAGCCTTCAAAGGATACACCTTGTCTGGCCATGGGGTCAGGCTGTGCTTCAGGGAACAGGGACGGGAGAGGGAACGGCCTCAGGGCAGGCTCAGGGTGGGCAGCAGCAGGAATTTCCCCATGGAAAAGGGGGCTCAGGGATTGGAAGTGCCCAGGGAGGGTTGGAGTGCCCATCCCTGGAGGTGTCCCAGGAATTCCTGGGGTGGCACTCAGAGGTTGGGGATGGGGACAAGGTGGGCACTGGGCACAGCTTGGACTCTGATCTTGGAGTTTTTTTCCAGCCTCAGTGATTCCCAAATTTTTACTGCTCTGTCAGCTGTGCCAGAAGCAAAGCTGCCAGCACCAGGAACATGTTTGTTGTGGGATTCCTTTTCTGCTTTGGTCTGGCACAGATGTGCACAGACAAAAGTGATGTTTGAGCCACTGATGTGCATGTAAATGCTGTAGAAACACCTAATCCATTAATGTCTGCAGATCTGATTTCCCTCAGACCTCTGAAACACTCATCCATTCAAAATCTCTGAGATTGATGAATGCTTTGAGGATCAGATCAGTGACCCCCCTCCACCTGCCCTTGCACGGGAGGGAATTGCTAAGTGACTTCACCTGCAGGGTGGCACAAATTCAATTATTAATAAAGGAAGAGATGGAGAATAACAGGGCTGGGGTGCAGAGAGAGGCAAAGTCACAGCAGCCCTTGGCTTTCATCAGCTGGGACAGAATTCCAGGTGGCTCTGAGGTGTAAAACCTGGCTGGAGATCCCAGCCCAGGACTGAGACCAAACACCAGGTGTTCAGGACAGCTCCACTCTGTCATCCTGGCTCTGGAAAGCAAAACTAAACTGTGCTTAGAGTTGGGTTTATCTGACACTGATCTGTGGCTGTTTCCAGGATTTAGGGAATGGATTTCTGTAAAGGCACTGTTTGATCTCTGTTGGTTGCTTTCATGTAATATGTGATAATTAAAAAATTAGTGTTATTGCCTTTCTAGCCCTGACAAATAATGATTCGGGAGCTTTGAGTCCAGTTCCAGTAATGGTGTAGAACAAGGCTGGTTTTTTGCTGACTGACCACTGTGACTTCAATCCATGTGTTTTTTAAAATCCAGTTAATTGTGGCATGCTTGTGTTCTTACTGGGAATTTTGGAGTGCAGCATCTTCTCACTTCAAACACAGCCGTGCATTTTATTTAATTGTGAACATTCTAATTAGGCTTAAAAACAATGAGCTTTGTACAGTTTAGTGTCTTGTGCAGAACATAGGGCACAGGAAGAGTTTTTTTAGTTTCACTGACACAATTTTGGAGCAGGAGATCCATTAAATGTAATACACTAAACATGAGGAAATTTCTTTTATAATGGTTTATTTTATAATGGTTGTATGGGATGGGTGTGATGGCCCAGTGTTATTTTCCTCTTCAGTTTTCACACACTGCCCTTGCACCTTCAGGGTGGTAAGAGAAGGAAAAGTTTGCTCTGTTCAGTCCTTTTGAGACTCTTTTTCTGTGCTTTCCAGAGTTCTTGTGCATTTTTAAAGTTCTGAAGATTCTGAATGCTGCAGCTGGTGCTTAGTGTCCTCCTTGCACAGAACTTCATTTGTGAATCAATTCTTTGGGCCTTCATAGCTCTGAAGAGATGGAATCATGGAATGGTTTGGGTGGGAAGGGACCTTAGAGCCCACCCAGTTCCAACCCTGACACCTTCCACCATCCCAGGCTGCTCCAAGCCCTGCCCAGCCTGGCCGTGGGCACTGCCAGGGATGGGGCAGCCTCAGCTGCTCTGGGAAATCCATTCCAGGGCCTGCCCAACCTCACAGGGAGGAATTCCCTCCCAATATCCCATCTAGCCCTGGTGTGAAACCATTCCCTGTGTCCTGTCCCTCTAGTTTCTCATGCAGAGAATCCCCAGCTGGAAATGTGAACATGTATTTTTGGAGCAGATAATCGATACGGGGTGTTAATTAAGGGATGACTGATGTTTTTTCCAGAGAAAACTCCTCAGTCACGTCTTGTCTCCTCAACTTGGCATCTGAAGCAGTCATTTGATAATGGCAGCATTAAACAGCACTCAGGATTTGCTTTCCAAATGGGAATCCAAGCGGCCCTTTGTCCCAGACTTATCTGTGCACAGGATTTTCCAGCTCAGGGCAGGCTCAGATCTCACCCGTGGGATGAGCACTTGGAGCTCTTTCCTGCCAAGCTCCTCAGGACAGGCACAGACAGCGAGAGGAGCTGGAGCAGAGCAGGAGTGAACCTTTTGTACCCTAAAACAAAATGATGTGGTGCTGATGTGGAGACACTGATGAGGAATTGTGAAAGCCAAAGAAAATTATAAAAATTGAATTGCTTTGGGGGTTGTTTTTCAATTATTGGGAGCCAGCACATGAACAAGTTTCTTGCAGGTGTCTGCCACAAGGATATTTGGAGTTAATGCTCCAAATATAACAAAGATCTATTAAACAAGGAAAAAAGGGCAAAATCCACATTAGAAATCTGATTTTCTGGCATGAAACACATTATCCAAGGTTTTAAAAAGCCCTTTGAGTCCATGGTCTTTAATTTTCTGAATTTTTTTTCAGGTTTTGCTGAATGTGACTTTAAAGCTCTTTAACCTTTCTTTCAGCACAGCTTTCAATCCCACTGCTGGATCTGGAGGTGAATTTACAGCCTGGTTGTCCCTCCCTTCCACAGACTTAATGATTTTTAATTAATAAAGTCAGTGCTCTGGAGTCTCTGCCAATTAATCACTGCCCCTGTGAACTTCTGCTAATTGACAGGAGCTCATTAAAAGATCACAGACTCATGGAATGGTTTGGCTTGGAAGGGACCTTGAAGCTCATCTCGTTCCAACCCTCCACATGATGCTGGTGTTGAATCTTCTGTACATCAGCCAAAACATTATTTAATTTCTCTAGAAATGGAGGTTTATTTTTGTAGGTTAGGATTTGTTTTTTCGGGGTTTATTTTAATTTTTTAAAGATTAATTCATTTTTCTGCCTCTCTGCACCTACCAGTCTTTTGCTGCCACTGCCAACTTTGCACCCAGCCTTGATAGTAAAATAAACACAACTTCTTGGAGTGATGGAACATGTTAACTCCAGTAATTCTGTGGGCAGGTGTTTCCTTTTGTTTTCCCTAGTTTTAAAGGAATGACTGACAGCTCCTGGGGATGGAGCAGAGCCTGGCTTTGCTTTTAGGCTCATGTCAGACCAAGGGAGCCTATCCCAATGGAAAAATGCAACAGTTCAGTGTCTGTCCCTTCCTTGGGTGGGAGAGCACGTCCAGAGCAGCCCCTGTCTGGTTTTTGTTCTCTTGACAGGGTTTTTTTTTTTTGCTGTTGACCCCAGACTGGCTCCTGCTGTTCCCAGAGAATTTCTGGTTTGTGTGGCAGCCCTCAGCACATCCCAAAATAGGGATGGATGGTCAGCTATGCTGGGAGATAAAAGAAATGCAGCAAAAAAGAGTCAAAAGCAGCACTGGAAAGCAAACTGGGTTCAGCAGAATGGAGATAAAGGCAAATTTTGAGATGTTGAAATAAAAACAGTGAAGAGGAATTAGAAATTGGTGTGTGGGGAAAATGGGGCAGTGAGTGCAGAGAGGGACTCGGATAAAGCTGGCAGGGCTTTCTGCACTGTGAGGAGAAATGATCAGGAGCCACTTCTGTGGTGATCTGATATTTGGTGTAAAAAAGGGCAAGGAAGCTCCTTTCCCCTGAAAGGACAGCAGGGTCCTCAGGAAAATTCCCAGAATCAGGGAATGTCTGGGGCTGGGAGGGAGCTCTGGAGATCGCCCAGTGCCAGGCAGGTGACACAGGGACACATCCAGAGAGGGACACCCCACATTGTCCCTGGGCAGCTGTGCCAGGGCTCTGCCACCCTCCAGGGAATGAAGTTCTTCCCCAGTTAATTAAAGAAAGCAAAATAGGACAGAATGAGAAGGTGTGTGATGAGCTGAGCTCCAGGTGAGTGTGTGCAGTTGTGCTTCACTGAGCTGAAGGGAAGGGTGTTCTTTGAGTGTTCTCTTCCTCCCCAGCTCACACTGACTGAGTTTTGGAAGTCTTTAAGGAGCAGCAGCAGCAGCAGGGTATGGCTGTGCAGTGCTGGGGGTGGAGTCTGGATTTTAGAGGGTGTGTACTAAATAACCCACCCCCTCCAGATTCCACCCAGACATCACCTCTAAAGCCTGATAATACACCTAAAGAACCATTCCACATGCATTAAAGGATATTTCAGTTCTGGGAGACTCCAGTGATCCAGATTTAGTCAATAGTGTTTGTGTATTTAATTGCTCAGAGGGAATTTCCATCCAATTCCCAGTCTGTTTTCTCCTTCCTTATCCATTCTCCTCCACACCAGAGCTCAGGGCATTTGTGCCTCACTCAGCACTGGCTCTGGATTTCCTCTTTCCACCAGATTTTTGGGTGCCAATCCTGTGTTTGCTCCCTGCAAAGTGCCAGATGTGTTGGCAGCCTGGCAGGAATGATTTTGATTTAAAATAAGGAATAATTCAGCTTTTGCGCCCTCACGGAGCTGCAGTGGATTCATGGTTAACTTCGGTCATGCTTAATGCAAAATGGTTATAAAATAAATTCCCTTTCTGTTTGAAAGGAGGAGGAAAATGCAAGAGATAATTTAGTGGGGGGATTGTGGTCATAGGTCAGAATAACAAGATAATGTCTTTTTTTCCAGGCTGGGAGCAGTAAAAGAACAGTTGCATGTGGTAAAAACAGTATGTTCTGGACTCTGTGCCAGCAGAAAAAGGAGAGGATTTTGCAAATTGAAAAAAATCTTTGGTTCATGTAGGTTAACAACATTTGTTAAAAAAGTCTGCAGGCAAAAGGTGTTCCATAAGGAATGAAAAATTCCTATATCCAACAGCAATTCTGTGAGCTGTAAGGCAGTAAGGCTGTGATAGGCTGCAGGATAATTTATTCAGGCTTCCTAGAATTTCTTTGAAAAACGTACACATTGATCCAGAGATGTTTTTGCTTCGCCAGATCTGCCCAAATTTTTCTAACCCAGTCCATTTATCTTGAGGAACAGCCTGTTGTTTTCCCTGATAATGGTAACCAGACTTGTGGTGAGGCCAGACACAGTGGCATGCAAAACAAGGCACAACTCATCCAAACCACTTTATTTTTCAGATGGCACCTGGTACTGGGAGCAGAAAGCAGCCAGTGTGACCTATCCTGGCTGAGGATTAAAAAAGAAAGGATCAAATTAAGGAAAAAAAATACAAACAATTTGCAAGTGTATAAAAATATATTCAGGACAGGGCATGAAGTTCTGATTTCAGCAGAAAAAAAAAAATTGAGGGATGAGTTGCTACATATGTCAAGAATAGTTTTCCCTGCAAGTTACTGAATATAAGGAAGAAATTCTTCCCTGTGAGGGAGGTGAGGCCCTGGCACAGGTGCCCAGAGCAGCTGTGGCTGTCCCTGCATCCCTGGCAGTGCCCAAGGCCAGACTGGACAGGGCTTGGAGAAACCTGGAATAGTGGAAGATGTCCCTGCCATGGCAGAGGTGGAGGAGATGGATTTTAAGGTCCCTTCCAGCCCAAGGCATTCCCTGGTTGTGTGGCTGTGCTCTTGCTGATAATCTGCTGCTCCCAGTGATAAATCAGGATTGCACAACCCAACGTTTGCCTCATCCTGTCGTTACTCAGCGCTGCGAGCTCAGCCCTGACATGTGGCGTGACTCAACCCAAAGGTCGTGCTGGAAAAGCAGTTTGGAGTTGCTTTTATGTTATATTTTATTGAGTTCTTCTGGCTTGTAGTCTGATAAACCTCAGGGCAGGATTTGGAAATCCAGATGCTGCTTGCTCCGAGTCCTGCTCGGTGTGAAAAGGAAACGCTGTTTGACCTGAGCTCTGTCACCTTCTCTGGGGACTGGAAGGGTTATGGAAACCAGGAATTGGGGACTTTGTCTAGATCACAAAACTCTGCTCTAAGATCACTTAATGAAAGAAAAGTCATTAATGTAATTGTAACTGAATGTTGTTCGCTATAAATTACTGTGAAGCTCTCTGTGGAAGGGCTGAGTGACTCCTCGGTCAGCAAACCTTGTTTAACTCCACAGTTGAGCAAACATGGAAATCAATCCAAATGGTCCATGTCAGTGGACACTGAAATATTGCTGGAGTGTTTCCTACTCAGCTCCTATTGGCAGTGTGAGGAATTCTGGAGGTTTGGTTTGTGTCTGGAATGGGAGTCTCATCCTTGGCTGTGTGTTCCATCCTCCACTTGAGGTGGGGTTGGTCCTGAGCTCTGTTCCAGTTTCTGGTTAGTCTTGAATCCATCAACTTTTGGCATTGTCTGCACAGGTTAATTGAAGTGAGTGCCTAATATTCCTTTGGAATATTAAATATAAATATTTAATTTATTTATTTAATTAAATACCTAGTGTTCCTTTTTTTTTTTTCCCTGACAAACTGGGAAAGAAATAAAAAAGCTTCTTAATATATTGAGTGTGTGTGTAAGTAGGTATAGCTGTGGTACTGATGGTTTGATATTTGAATAAGAGGGAAGATGATTAGTGATTGAATAATTATCCTTCTGCTGTGCCCGTTCATTGGGAAACTATTATTTAGAAAATAATATAGCCAGTAAATATGAGGAAAAACCCAAATTATGTTTGGGATCTCTGGTTACATCCTAAATTATTGTAATTGCTTGATGCACTCCTTTGAAATGATTAAACAAGTTAGTGTTCACTATTGATTATAATTCCCTAAATCTATAATCTTGTTTAGCCTTGCTTTAATCTCATGGGTTTGAGGTTGGGGAAAAATAAGGTTCAAAGCTGTTGACTGCTTGAAATTTGCTTTGCTTTGAGAATATCCCAGAGTTGCAGTAACCTTCATTTTTAGGGGATGAGAGCACTGGGCCTGGAGTGGTTTCTCAAAAAAAGAGATCTCTGAGAGTGAGCTGGACACCTGGACTGGCTGCACCAGTTGCTGTGTAGGTCAGAATGTGACCAACAATAATTTTTGGTCACCTCTGGGGCGAATTTGGGTTTCTTTGTCTCAGCAGCCGCCGTCGCAATCCCGCTGCGCTCAGCTGGGAAAGCCCATGGCCAACAGGAAGCAAAGCAGGGGGAATCATGCAAACATGAGAAATTCTGGCTGTGTCCTGAGCCTGCCTCCTTGCTGAGCCTTTGCCCCATGTGTGTTTCAGAGGATTACCCCAACGGGACGTGGCTGGGCGACGAGAACAACCCCGAGATGCGGGTGCGCTGCCCCATCACGCCCGCGGACATGCTGCACATCAGCACCAACTGCCGCACGGCCGAGAAGATGGCCCTGACCCTGCTGGACTACCTCTTCCACAGGGAGATCCAGGCCATCTCCAACCTCTCGGGCCAGGGCAAGCACGGCAAGAAGCAGCTGGATCCTCTCATGATCTACGGGATTCGCTGTGAGTGAGATGTGGGAGTTTAACGTGTGGATAAGGCAGAAACGATGTGTTCAGTGAGTTTTTAGAGTGTGTTTGATGTGTGGTGAGGTGTTCTGGTGGCTTTATGAAGTAGGTTTAGGGCTTTTAGGAAGAAATCCTGATCGGCTGGTTTACTTCAGTTGGTGGGTATTCACCAGAAATTCCTCGGTCTTTTATTCTGAATTCTGACATCTTTGTAACTGCCAGCTGTGAGTGTAGTAAATACTGCAGAAATAATTGGTAACACAAATTTCAGTACTGTTCAATGCTCAAATCAGCATGGTCTTGAACCGTAGTTTTGGGCTCCCCATTTATGTCTCTTTTTTCAAAAGACTTGCTGAAGTTGTGATGTGAAAAGTTGGCAATCTCAGGATCATAAAATCTGGATTCACAGCAGGAATGGCAGGACGCTGTTGGGATTTCTGTCTGCTCCATGTGCACAAGTCTTTGGATTATTTAAGCTATTTTGGGGCTGTGAACTGATATTACTTGTGTTAAAGGCACGATATTTGTTAATTTAAAAGGAATCAAATGTGGTTTCATGTAGAACAAAGGCACAGCCACTGGTTTGAAATGAAAAGAGGAATCTGGACGTGAGCATCGTGTTCTGCTGTGGCGATTTCTAGTGAATACACTGAGGACAGCCAAGTCTGTTCCCTGTGCTTTATTTCCAAGAAACTAGTATAACCAGGATTTTGGTAGAAGTTTCTTCTGCCAGGTGGTGGTTGAGCACTGGAATCAGGGAATGGGCATGGCCCTGAGGCTGCCAGAGCTCCAGGAGCGTTTGGAGAACACTCCCAGGGACAGGCTGGGATCACTGGGGAGTCTGGGCAGGTCCAGGAGTGATCCTTGAACTGGATTCTAATAAACCTGGAGGCTTTGTTGTTACAAGGTTCTTTACATTCGACTACATTTTGTGTAGTCGCCCGTGGATGTGGAATGGGAGTAATTTGTTCTGTTGGTGAGTTTTGTATGGAATTGGCAATTTGGAACTCTAGGTAAGGCTTAAGAAGAGGTCAGCAAGGGATTATTTGGGGTGGTGTTTGGAGAAGTAGTTCTGGGATAGTTACAGGGAAGGGATGTGGGTGATGTTTGGTGATGGCAGGAAACATGTTCCTCTTATCTGCTGCTGTTTCCAGGGATTTTCAGGCTATTTTTGGGGATACTGAAAACCAAATCTAACCCACTCAGGTGGCTGCATTAGGGCAATTTTTGCTTCATTATTTACCTGAAGCAGAAGACTTCAGGCTTCTTTTACAAACACATTAAATATATATTTTTAAGGGAGATGGTAAATCAAATTAATGCTGATCTCCAAAGCCTTCTTGTCTGCTGATCTCATCAGCATCAATGATGCTTTTAAAACATAGATTTTTGTTAAAAGCTTTTAGAAACACTAAGAAATGGATCTTGGTCCAGTGTTAAAGCAATTCCCAGGCAGTTCTTTTCCCATCCCTCAAATCTGAGAGCACAAATCACATGGGTCAGTTTGTAACTGGTTGTGGAGGAAGATGAGATGTTTGCCAGTGTGAGCATGGGGAAGGAATGTGTCCATGTGAGCAAGTGCTCAAACTGGGGATTATGTCATTTCTGTGAGGCGTTCTGACCATGAAAATGATGGATTGTGGAAGTGGAGAAGGTCTGGAATGGCACAGATGTGAGAGCAGATCGTGAGCAGCAGTCAGTGTCTGACTTTGGTGGCATGAGCACGGTTTGGGATCCAGGTATCTGAAACAACTTCATTCCTTCCTACTGTTGGCTGCTGTGTTGTTTTCTTTTGGGAGCCAGGCCATAAAAAACTAGGGATTTCTGGAAAAAATAGCTCCTGTGTGGATCTGGCCAGAGAAGACTGGTTTGGGCAGTGAAATGTTGATCTGCTACCAGCAAGGACAAAGAATCCTGTGGCAACCAGCAAAGAAAACACACGAGAACTTGATGGAGCTGCAAATGTAACAGTGAGAAGAGTGGTCCAGGAATGATGATTTCACTTAATAACCTCATGTGTCATCACTGGGAGTAATTAAGTGGGAGTGGAGTTGCATTCCAGCAGCCTGGTGAGGAATGTGGAGCACTCAGCTCTCGAGGATGGGATTGTGCCCATGCTCAGAGTCTGTGTGTGCCATGATTCCATCCCTGCATCCCTGCCTGGGAAGAGCCATCCCAAATCCCCCTTCCTAGTCCACACACATCTGCTTTTCATCCCTGAAGTGTTCTCCCAGAAAATCACCCCAAAGCTGAGTTTCCCTGGCATGGGAACCCCCTCAGTGCTGGTCCCCACTGTGGGATTTGCTTCTTCTCTGAGCAAATGATGCTTTGATGACTTAATTCAGCCAGAAATGAAAATTCCAATGTCATCAGCCTGGCCTGTGCCAATCACAGCCAGAGGGGGCCAAGGAAATAGAAAAGATTTTGTTTTTCCTTTCGTTTCAAGTTTCTTGCAGTTTGTCAGTGGAAAGATATTCCATCTTTTTTTTTTTTCTTTCTTTCTATAAGAAAAACACCAAGCAAATCTGTATTTAATAGAGAAAGTATTTTGTGTAATATGTGGAAAGTATAGAAAATGAAGAGATGTGTGTTTATTAAAAATTCTTGATGCTCTGCACAAGGTTTACCACAAGAGGAGAGGAAAGTTTATCTTTGGAAGTCTAAATTTTCACTTGTGGTAGGAATTTGTTTGTGGGGTGGCAGTGGTACTGAGGAGAATTTTTGGGCAAGAAACCAGAATGATTTAAACACAATCTCTGTCATTAAATAGCTCATTACCTCAGCCCTGCTAAAAATGGAGAGTTTTGCTGGTGAAATACAATCCAAGTACATCCTCAGTTGTAATTTTCTTTGCCTAACAGAAAATACAGGTTTAGCTCTTTGGAGATTTTACAGCAATTTCCACGAGCCAGTTGGAAAAAACAGATTCCCAAATTCAGAATTTTGCAGTTATAAGAAATGGTGCAAGTGAAAAGATGATTTTCCTTGGCATGATGGAAAAATTGAGAGGGGATTTCTGAAGCTCAGAAAAGAAAATTTATCAGTAGTTCTTATTCTTCAAAATAATCAAAGTAACTAAATGAAAACAAAATATGATTAGTTACTTATAATATATATTTGTATATACACATATTTTATATATTATTGTGTGTAACTTTGTGTATTATTTCTGTGCAAGCCCCTTGCTCTGCACATGGGTTTTTGCAGACTCTCATTTTCCCACTTGCTTATCTGTTCTGGTTAATTACTCCAAGAGGATGGAACCTGCAAATTTAATGCAGAATTTCTGGTTGTGTGGAGGAAGGAGATCCAAACTCATGAATTGCATTAAGGGGAACCTGTGCCCTTGTGTTATTGGACCCCAAAATTCTTATTTTGGCTCCAGACAGATCTGTTGCTCAGGGAACAATTTATGCACGTGGAAATAGATCTCTTGTTACGGACAGGTTTGTTGCTGAGAAAAAAAAAACAACTCAAAACCAGAAATCCCCTACCCAAACCCTCCAGTGCTCACAGAGGGAAGGAAACTGTGCTGAAAAAATTGGGTGAATTTTCCCATGGGCTTCCAAGACTCTCATAGAGTGAATTTTCCCATTTCCCTTTAATTTCATCCAGAATCCATCCTTGTCTTTTAAATACCGTAAAACAAAGTGTTAGCTGAGAACACCTAATGATAAAATCAGATTTTTAGCTCTGAATGATGCATTTTATTCTTCAAATGCCAACTAACTTCACTTTTTAAGACATAAAAACCCAGCACAGAAAGAAATCCTTCATCAGAGCTTGGTGTTCCTGTTATACAAAACATTTCTTCCAGTAGGGATGGGAGCACTTCTCCTACTGCAGGAGTTGAAAGAGATGTTAATACACTCTGAAAGGACTTGTGTCCTCAGCAGAGGCCAAGTGGAATTAAACACTGGCTCTGCTTCCCAAAAATCCACACACCAGCTCTGGAGCTGCAGCCCACACACGGCTGCTTAATAGGAAACACATTTGGCTGTGGAATTGATGTCAGTGGTGTGAGTTTATGTATGGAGAGAGGAATAGAAATCGAAATATTGCTGCCCACAGCCACAGGTTGGGCTGGTTGAAGCTGCCACTGGTGGCGTGGAAAACGTGTGGGGAGCTCAGCACTGCTGCTCCAGCTTTTCATGGGGAGTCTGAGCTTAATAACAACAGGATCAGCAGCAAATATATCACATTTCTGTCCTTCTGGGGGATTATCCTGCTTGGAAATACTGCAGGAAGGGCAGGAAGTTCTCATGGATGAGCTGAGCTCAGATGTTTCTCACCAGAGGATGTTTTGTGGGACACTCCAGGCTGGTGCTGTTTTTTAAGATGTTTATCATGGAATCCTGGAGTGGTTTGGGCTGTGTGCATCAATTATTTATATTTATATTATTTATATCTATGGTTATATTTATATGATCCAGTGCCACCCCCTGCCATGGCAGGGACACCTTCCACTGTCCCAGGCTGCTCCAAGCTCCACTGTCCAGCCTGGCCTTGGACACTTCCAGGGATGCAGGGGCTGCCACAGCTTCTCTGGGAATCCATTCCAGGGCCTCTTCACCCCTCCCAGGGAATGATTCTTTCCCAAAATCCCACCTATCCCTGCCCTCTGGCAGTGGGGGTCCATCCCTTGTGTCCTGTCTCTCCAGACCCTTGGGAATCATCTCTTTCCAGCTTCTGTGTCCTTCAGGTGCTGTAAACAAACATTGCAATTACTGAAGGCATGCGCTATAAATACAGAATGTCATCAATATTTTCTATTCTTTCACTTTCCCACTTCCAAAAGCCTTTTTTATTACTGTATTTTTATTAACTCTACCAATTTTCCCTTTTTTTTCTTATTTCCTACCTAATATTTGTATGCTTTTTTGGCATATTTTCTGTGTCTTCCTTTCATTTCCTGTTTGTAATTTTTGGCTTCTCGTGTCTCATTTCTGAATATCCCACAAGTCCCTGGCTGTTAGGGTATTGAATAACATCCCATG